CCTCCTCCTCCACCCGCAACCTCCCCTGCCGCGACGAGCCCCTTGAAGCACATGAGCAGCCCGAGCTCGGCTGCCAATTAGATTGCCCCTCCCCAAGGGCCGACCCGACCTCTCTCCCCTCTCTCTGTCTCTCTCTCCCCCTCTGCCTCTCTCTCTCTTTCTTGCAGGATGGACAACAGGGTGGTCCTTATCCTCGACGCGCAGCTGTCGTGTTTCTCCCGCCGAGGCCGGTGCTCGAAGCGGTCGCCACAGGGCTGAAGGCCTATGCGATATCCAGGTTTTGATATCGCGATACGATACAGACCATGTTTCGAACATCCATACTCGATGCAATCGAGCCTCGATAATATCGAGTGATATCGCAATGTCGGACCATATCGAGTAAACGACATATGTCTTAAAACGGTCGATATATCGCGATATGTCGTAGTATCGAGGACCCTCGACATTTCGATATCAATATCGGAAGAATATCGATGAGCCCTTAGAGTTCAGACGTCCCTAGATCTCATGCTGCACACCTTTCCGGCCCGCCCTACTCACTCACCTGCACGACGGGTCGTCGTAGTAGCCCTTGCTGTAAACCAGCCCGTCGAAGTCTTGCTGGAACTCGAGCGTCACGCCGATGCCGTCGCTCGAGCAGTCCACGTCGAGGCGCGTGATGTGTGTGTGTCCGGGGTCCTGGATGTCCTGTAGGCCGACGTCCTGCTGCTCGGCCTGGCGCAGCCGCAGGGAGCGGACGTCGCCCGAGGACAGCGTCTGCAGGGCCTCGTCGTCGTCGACCTTCTTGACGACGCCCCGGCTGCGGACCGCACCGCGGCCCCCGGGACCGCGTCCGCGCGGCCCCGCCTGCACGCGGATGAAGGTCCGCGGGGACAGCGTCGTGGTGGTTGTGGTCGTCGGGGAGGTGCTGGGCCCGGCCTCCGGGTCCGCGGGGTCGCCCGGGTCGGGCCCCGTGTCCAGCCTCAGTCGGCGGGCGCGCGGCGCCGTCCGGTCGCCGAAGTGCGCCGCCTCCGCGGCGTCCGCGTCCCCGGCGAGCGCGGCCTCCAGGACGTCATTGTCGGAGTCGGGCAGGCCGCCGTCCTGCGCCGCGGCGAGCACCACGACCGTGGCCAGGAGGACCTGCAGCAGAACGAGAACCGTGTTTGAGCGGGCCAGCGGAGACACCTGGGACCCCTGGAACCCCCTGGAACCCCTGGAGCCCCTGAAACTCCTGGAACCCCTAGAACCCATGGAACCCCTGGAACAGCCCCCTGGGGCTCCGCGACCCTCGTTACGTAATCAGTGGCTCCCGCCCAACCTCCCAGCTCGCCATATTTCTCAGCACGAGCAGAAAAAAAGGGGTTAGGGAAAAAAATGAGGGGGAAAAAATGGAAAATTAAAAGGAAAGAAAAGCCAACCAAAGCCAAGCTCACTCATTATAGAGTTCCCTCCGTTTCCTTCTCAAGGAGGAGACTAGGCTCAGCTCACGGGCGACGCGTACACCCAAGCCTAGCCTGTTGACTAACGACCAGCCGGGGGTAAGTCTTCACTCCGCTTATGGGTTGGGGGAGCGGGGCGGGGTGG